AGATATAGTACTAAAATGTTTATCCTGGTTTAAATACCTGTTAGGTGACTTATATTCCTAACAGGTGCCATGGCACTGGACCTTGCCAGGAGAAATTCCTTGACTGGTAGGATCTGCAACATATCTCTTTTTAAAGCGCGAGTGGGATGCATGGGGGCAGTCCTTTCTATGAAGATGGTTAAATAAAGCAGAGTTTCTGCCTGCGTTAAGCAAGGATCACCCTTGTTCAGAGAGCCTTTGGTGGTATAATGAAAGCCACTTTAAATGAAACTGCAGCTTCTGGGTTCTTTAAAATTGCGAGAACAATCATCTCTGGATAGTGGGCAGTTTGGTTCTTGGCCAGTAGAGCTTTGGAGCAGGTGCAGCGTGCACCCATACACCTTTTCAGTTAAATAGGCCCTTGTGTGTATACAAAAGCTGCATGTGGATGGCTAAGCTCCAAATCTCTTTCAGAAGAGCTCTTGGAATCAAATACTTTCCTATCCGGTTTGGGGATTAGCCGTCTGCTATTTCCGCCACTCTGTTTACCTGAGAATGAAACCACACACAAAAGGACACAGACGGGAGAACATGATCAGATCTCTCCAAGGTGAACCCTCAGCCTCATCCTTGCTTGCATTTGGGCTTTGTTCATAGAAGAAATAGCATGCCAAGCTTGGTTGCTATAGGATACCAAACTTCTTTCCATATGTGGCAGGCCGAAGCCTGAACTAGGGTTGACTTTAACATGCCCAGACGGGTGCAGGAATAACCACAGCCAAGAAAATACAGGGAGGGCTACATGGTCAGGAAAGGAGATGGGTTTACAGAAGTGGGAAATCCCACCTGTTGGAAAAAAAACAATTATTCCAAAATTGTGTGGCATAGGTTGGAATAAGATAGATTAAGAAAGAAGCACGTGCCTATAAATAATGCTACTATGTGAGCAAATATACAAAAAAATGTAACATTTTTAAATTCACCAAGTGCTCTGTGTTTATTTTAAATTATGGAAATGCTTTTGTGATATTCCCGTTTATTTATAACTGATATGCTCAGCCAGCCTCACCTGCCAGAGATCATATAAATCCTTAGCCTTGCCATTTGCTCCAAAAAAACACAGTATTTGAGCACTTGTGGCAACCTCATTAAAAGCCACACACAGACACAATGAGTTCAGAAACAAATCAACAGGATGAACATGCAACATTCAAAACAGGAAACTTTTAAAATACCTAAGAGAGCTGTCTTTGCCTGGACAGTAGATAAGCATTTATGCAGAAGGAAGCCCATTTCTGAAAGGCTAAAGAGACCAGAACATGGCCGTAGCATCAATTCATTCAGGAACCAGAGTTTGAAATGTCTTTCTATCACATCCCCCTTGTAGATTCAATTCCCATTGCTTCCAAGAAGGATAAATATATACAGGTGGTTCTCGACTTATGACTTGCTTAAGGACCATTTGAAGTTATGACAGGCCCGAAAAAGAATACTTACAACCTGGGTTTGAAATTCTGACTGAAGTCTCCACATTGCAGTCACATGAGCACATTTGGGGCACTTGGCATCTGGTCCACATTTATGGCTATTTGCAAATGTAACTGCCAGAAACTGGTTTTACTTCCAGTTTCCAGCAAAAAAAACACACCCCGTAGAAAACAATGGACCCCAGTATTCACTTTACAACTGCACATTCACTTAATGACCACTGCAACAAAAGATTGTAAAATTAAGCGTAGTGCTGTGGTGAGCCACTGAGCAACTATCCTAATTGCACGGTCAGTTAAGGTTGTATGTCAACCAAAAGCTGTTTCCTTTCCTTTTCCAACTGTTTAATGTGATTTTGCTTTTAATTAATGAACAGATATACTTTGGCAAGCCAGAACATCATCTCATTTGGTCAAAAGCTACTATTTTGAGAGGGAACCCCCACTTTGCTTGCAAGTGGATGGTATACAATCATCTGAATCCACTATTAAAAGGCTGGATATTGAGAAGAACAAATAAGGAAGAGCAGGAGTGAATCTCTCTCTGCAGGCAACTAAATCCCAATTTCCAGCAACTCAAGTCATAGGCCATATGTGAAATAGGCTGGGACCCTTAATTCAGCAATATCAGGTAGTATAGTAGGAGATTATAGAGCAGGAGTTGGGACCTTCTTTGGATTGCTTTGTGTTTCTTTTTCTTTTCTTTTACATGTTTTAAAAAATTGCAGTGCTGGTTTTTGTTTGTAGCAACTAAGCACTACCGTGCTTTCCCCTATTCATCATATTACCTTCACTGCTTTCTCATTGTTTGGAAAGTTAATCAGGTTTCAGCAACAGCATTTTCACTAAACAAAACCTCCACAGGGATCTCAGAAATCTATGGGATAGGACAGGCAAGATGTGCTCTCCAAAAATATAGAGTTGTTAAAAGTTTGCTTTTAGCTGATTACTTGGCTGGGTCATTTCATTGTCTTCTGGGCCAGATCAACAGAAATCCAAACTTGTGGTTGAAGGATCTTCAGGCCCTAGAACGACCTGGTAGCCAAACGTTTAACCAAAGGCTGTTTCCTTTCCCTTTCCACATCTCAGTTCTGTTTCTGTTTTCTGAGGCAGAAAGTGATTCACTACTCATCCTCACACTTATGACCATTGCAGCATTCTCTTAGTCAACTGAATCAGACTTCGGGCACTTGGCAACCAGTGTGTGTTTACAACCGTTGCAATGTCTGGGGACATGTGATCTCCATTTGTGACCTTCCCAGTCAGCTTCTGACAAGCAATTTTTAAAGTCACTTAATGACCTCGTGATTCATTTCATAACTGCAGCAATTTTTTACAGGTTGTAAAATCAGACACAACTCAACAATTGCCTTGATTAGTAATGAAAATTCTAATCCCAATTGTGGTTGTAAATTGAGGACTATCTATTATAATCACTAGATTTTGCATTTCCCCCAAACGCTGCATCTCAACACTGGACACTATCCAGTGGACAGCACATCAACTCATGAATTTAAGATGTTGTGTTGGGAGATCACAAGCATTTTAGATGATGGTTTTACATTGTAAAACTATAAACAGCAGTAGAAATTGTTATTGTGGATATACAGTAGTTAACAGCCCTAAATCAGAGGAGACCAGGAGAGAAAATTAAAAGACCAGTTCTTTCCTAGTTACTCAAGAATTAGACAAATGTGGGAACTCAACAGTGAAAGATCTCATGTGCTGGGAATTGCTTAAGACTCTGATAAAAGCAGAATGAATTTTGACATGAACAGGAATCAGATTGCATTTAGTTGCAGTGACATCATCCCTTTCTGCTCCCTTGGTGCAATGTGGGAGCAGGCCAAGGCTCTGTTTCCACCCTCCCGCTGATTGTCCCCTGTTAACCTGCCCTTGGGTCTCATCTCTCAGTACAGCAAGCTGAGTTTTAAAGGGCACAGAGGGGCCAGTTCTAAGCCTAGGCAATCTAGACAGTAGCCTATGTACCAATTTTAAGGGGTGCCAAAATGGAAAAGACTTCCGAAATATGCCATACAAGTCTGTAATCGTATGTGGGAATACTGGGCCCAGAGATACTGCCTAGGGTACAGTAAGTTAAGAAACAATGTAGTCTATAGCTGGATAGTGGGTAGGACAAGAGGCCCAGAAGAGACCCACCTAATTTCTCAGAATGTAAAGGAAATTAGAGTGGTGTGGTGGCCTAGTGTGGAAGATGCTCACCTCCCACTTGGGAGGTTGAAAGTTCAATCCAGTGATGGTATTCTACCGGTTCAGCCCAGTTCTGCTGAGCCGATAGTGGCGATGAGAAATGGAGACCAAACCGGTTCTCTCTACCACTCTGCTGTTGGGCCCACCTGCCTGCCTGGGCTCTCATACTCACCTTCATCTTCTGCTTTTGAAGCACAGCTGCTTTGCGCGGCACAGAAGACTGCTGTGCAGCAGCTGCTGAAGCAACCAGGAGAGTGCAAGCTTGCAGGAGGTGAGTTGGAATGCCTCTGCACCTGCGCAAAGGCCTCTGTGCCTGCGCAAAGTGCGTGTTTGGCACATGCATGCACGTAAATGCACCCACTAAGTCACACCCACCAAAATGGTGGTGAATCCCACCCCTGGTTCATCCTAGGTAGCAACAGATGCTTCTCAGGGTGCAGATATCTGCTGCAAACTCATGTAGGCATCAGGAAGGACATCTGGCCAGTAAACGCTCAACTCCATCCAATTGTCCTAACTGTACCCCGAATTAAGGGATTACAATGTCATGAAAAGGGAAAAAAAGGATGTTAGAGGGAGATTTTCACTTTCCAACTTGCAAGAATTATGTCAGCCTTACCAAGTGGCTCAGACAAGAAATACCATCAGATTAGTCATTCTACTTCATTGCAATAATTTTAACATAGTCTTTGTTACATTATATTATATAGTTATATTAACATAGTCTTTGTTACAGGTGGTCCTCAACTTACAACCAGAATTGAGACTGAAATTTTTATTATAAAAGTCACTGCAGTCATAAGTTCAATCATATCTGATTTTACAACAATTTTTCCTCTAGTTGTTAAGTGAATCACACAATCACGATGCAAATCCAGGTTCCCTGATGGTCATTTTTTGCTGAAAATTGGCAAAAAAAGGTCACAGATTATGATTACATGACCGCAAGACACCATAACAGGTTGTAAATGCGAGCAAGTTGCCAAGTGCCCCAGTTGTGATTACATGACTGCAGGGGTACTATAACAGTCATAATGTGAGTACAGGTCACTTCCCTCTAAGACCGTCGTAATTTTGAACCATTGTTAAATGAGCACTGCTTGTTTTATGCCAGACAAGGTAGAGTGAGGGCTGCAAATTTGAACATCATTCATGTAGTGGTTTTATCTGATTGCAGGCTCAAAGGAGAGGTTTTTGTCAAAATTGCCTCCTTTTTCAATAACAAAGCAATGTACTGTACTTTAAAACTACTTGTGACTTGTAACTAGCCCTTCAACAGTGCAGTCTTAATTGTTCCTCTTTTTCTTTCTCCTTTTATTGCAGATGTTCATTGTGGAGAAGACTGAGGACACTCACTGCAGCTTGCACGAGTTCACTATCACTGGATCCACCTACACCCCTGAGGGACAAATGTGAGTATTTCTACTGACCACAAGGAGGCACTGTGACTTGTTGTTGGAACTTGTCAAGCATTGATGTAAAATCTTCCCAATGTTTTAAAAAAAATGATTGATTGAGCCTGTGAATCAGTATTAACCCCTGGCAATATTTTCAGAAGTGGTTTGGCATTTCTTCCTTCCTAGAGCTGAGGGGAACTGACTGACCTAAGTCATGGAGCTGCCTTTGTACCTAAGGCATGTTTGAAACTCACAGTCTTCTGGTTTCTAGCCTAGAGTCTTAACCTCTATACCAAGCGGACTCCCCTTGAAATTATATTTAAAAAATTAATATAAAACTCATTTAAAAAAAGAAAAACAATCCTATCACTGTGTCTGTCAGGTTGATAGCATTGCTGTGCTGTTTTTGCATTTGTTTGCTGAAAGTTTTAAATTGCCAGCTAATTTAGGGTTGATGCCAAAGCAGACAGATATTATTTATTTTATTCATCCAATTTATTGACCACCCATCTTACCACAGGTAACTCTAGGTGGTTTGCAATATTAAAAGAGATTACAGGAGTAAAACAAAAAGCTTCATGTTTGTTTACATTGTATTTATGAATGTATATACGTACATATGTATGTATATCCTTGCCTTTGTAATTTTTACAAATAACTCAAGGTGGTAATTGTCCCCATTACTTAAATGTCTATGGAGATTTTCATCATCCACGTCATGGTTGTCCCAAAGGTACTTTTTAAAGAGGCAACTGGCACTTTCTGGGATTTTTTTCTTTGAAGATGTGTAGCTTCTCATCTAAGAAGCTTCTTCATTTACTTACGTATTGCACCAATGGCCTCTTGCTATCTGCAGTGGTGAACCCAAGAGGTGGGGACAGTCTTGTCAGGCAAGAAGAATCAAGACCCACACATTAAATCCAGTTAAGCTGATTTATTGCTCACATCTTTACCCAGGAATCTAGTCAGCTAGTGGTCAGCACTAAATTGGTGCTAGATAAGAGTTAATGGAATTCAAGAGAGATTGGACTTAGAGCATTTGTGGGAACTTAATGACTTCAGGCTGATTCCTCTCTATTGACTCCACCTGCAAGCTCTGCCTGTCCTTCTCCTGCAAATCTCCAAAATTTGACTCACAAGAGGGTTGCTTTAGTTGAACAAGCTTTAAAACCCTGAAATATCTTTTTCCCCTCCAACCTCAGAGTTATTCAACTTAGGCATCAGCAAAAGTTATACATTAATAAAGACTAAGCATCTCACAGTCATTGGGCACTAGCTACAACAAAAGAGAGAGATAATTATCTGATTGGGATTAGAGTTGGAAGTTTGTTATTTCACAGCTCATAAGACTAAATAAGAAGATCTAACTTGTCTAAGCAATTTCTGTTCCAGGTGTTAATTGAAAAATGCAGGTCAATCACAGGACAACATCTTTATAGAATTTTGAAACCTTGCATGAACACACAAGTAAATCTACAAATACAGCAAACTAATACGATATAGCCAGCAGCTGCACTATTTATTTATGGCCATGTTTAGCCTACTTTTTATTAAAGACAACCCCAAAACAGGGTGCAATAAAAGAAGCCAGGAAAACTATATATAATTATAAAGTGAAAACCATAAAATGGGAACTGTTAACAATCCCAAGATCTTCAGCTCAGCCCAAAACTTTAAGCAAACAGGTAGGACTTTACTGAGCCCCAAAAGCGAATTAGTCTCAGCAGCAACCAGAAGTGGAAAGGGATGGTGTTCCATAATTGTGATGCTATATAACCCACAAAGTATGTGAATCATGTTTAAAAGAAAACAAAATGAAGTAGGGTCATCCCCAGGGAATGAATTCAACTAAATAATGGCATGGGGGCACAGAATTAAAACATGTGTTCCACTGTACCCACCATAAATTTCCACCCATCACACTTGCTTATCTATAAAATAGTTTTGGACGTAACATGTTAATTTAAGAGATTCATTTTTCATCTCTGTTTTATTTTTGACACAAAATATTCCAATGACATAATTTGGAGACAATGTTTTGAATTCCATGGTGAAATCTCGGCAGCAGTTGCCAGAGTCAGAAACACTTTGCACAGTTCTGAATTATTATTTTGCTGTTATTTAAAGCCCATGGGAAACTATAAGCAGAATAAATTTTCACCAGAGAAAGTATGACAATTTACACATACCCCATGTATTAATTATTAAAAAGTTGAACTGACTATGTTTCTCTCTATCTCTGTTCCCTGGATCAGTGGGAATCCACAACTCCTGCCCCAAAGGAATGTAATAATACAAATAATAATTGTAATAGAAAGTTGGATTTACTAGGTTAGTGATGGCTCATTATAGTTGAGAAGTAATTCTTTGGAGCGGGGTCCAGAGAAATTTAAATCTAAGAAACAAGAAACAAATAGTTCTAGAAAACTTCAGTATGCAGTAGATGACCTACTTACATTGTGCCACATCACAGAAAATTAGTTAGGCTCTCTCTATCTTGCCTTTCGTCTCTCTTGACTGTGAGGAAGGACAAATTTATATATTTGTCTGTCTGTCTGCTTTCTTTCTTCAGTTTTAGGTTCAATTTATTCCATTTTTACATCTCCTGTTCAAGGGATTTTGATTTCCCAAAACTGTATACTTGTATTTCTTGTTAAATATACTGTATATTTGGTCTATCTGAGTTTACTCAGGTTTTTTTAAAAAAAAATCCAAACAATTTTCTAAAGCTTCAATACATTTGCATCTTTTTTTTCTCCTCTGATTACCATATACCTGGATAAAAGATTAGAGGACAATCAACTTGCTGGTATCATATGTCAAAGTTATTTTTTTTACTAGTGTATCAGGTGTTTCTATGCTCTGGAAACACCTCACACCAATAGAACACAGATGCTGCTTCTTCAAATATACAGTATGCATTTTATCAACCTATATGGGTATAAAATGGCAAAAAAAGAAGACACATTTTAGAAGTATCTTAGAAGTTGATATCTCTTGGGTTTACTCAGGAGTTGCCAGATATTTAATGATGATTATTCCCATTTTCTCCCACGTTAATCTTGACCATAAAAGCAGAAGGTAATGGACTATTGACTGCTGCAGTTTGGAGCATAGTGCAAATATGTACAGCATTCTTAATTTTCCCATGCTAATGTTTGTTGTGTAATGCGCAAAATGATCTTCATCCCTGATCTAATAGTTGGAAGAGATGGGATGAAATGACCTTCACACACCTTTAGTGATGTCCAGGAAAACACAATCATGTGGGCCACCCACAAGATACTCATATAATAGCCTAAGTCAGCCTTTTTACCAGACGTTCATTGGAATCAATTGGATCCCAGTAGATCCTAAGATTCTCTACTCTGGTACTTTACATCTCAGGATGATATCCATTACCTATCCAAGGTAGTGTCTGATAGGAGAGTATTTAATGAGAACAGAATTTGATAAATCTCCAGTAAAACTAGTCCTCTGAGCTCCTACTGGAGCAAACCAATTGGATATGAAGTGTTACTCTGTCATTTCAACCCCCACATTCCCCCCACCACACCTCAAAGTCCCCAGGGTTCAAAATTCCTTCTATAACTCTGCTTTTGATGGCTGCAGTGGGCAAATGGTGTGATGAAGTGACTCAAATGCTTCAATTGACATCCTTGTGTCAGATATCAGGGTGCAGATGCTCCTCATGGTGTTTGCACGATGCTCCTGTTGTATGATGCTCATGTCGACATTTTGTTGCTGATGCTGCTATCCAGAAAAGACTTAAATAATCTTGCTGAAGCCTTACATAAAATTAGTTGCAATATGCTTTATCCATCTTTCTTTTGAGATGCTAGCAAATAAGGCAAAGCAAAAACTCCCTTATGTCCAGCTTCAGTCTTGGTGATTCTATAGAGACATCCATGTCGCTTTCCTGGCCTCAGTATGATAATAATATCCCATTACATATTTTTTCATTTTTTTTTTATTCAACTCCAGTCCACTGATTTTTTCGTGGTCTCCAATCTGGGTATGTGCTGGGTCTACAATAACACGCCATGGCCAACTCTCTATGGCCAACTTGCTACACAGCCAACTCACCTTAGCCAACTTGCTGCAGGACAACTCACTATAGCAACTCACCACAGGACAAGAGTTACACTAAAGTAACTCTTTAAAGTAACTCTGAAGAAATAGTGGAATAGAATCATTAAATAAAAGATGCCAAAGAAGGAACAAAATGAAATGTGAATGACAAATGAAATGAAAATAATATTTAATTGTTTTTAAAAATTAAATTGAATTGTTGAAGTGCCCCACAGTGAGTTGTCCTGTGGCAAGTTGGCCACGGCCTTGGAGAGTTGGCTGTAGCGAGTTGTCCCATTCCAACTGGCTCCAAATCTTCTTAGTTTTTTGTGAGATACCTAGGCTTTTTAAAAAAAATAATCAAAAAGGCTTAAAAACAGGGGGGAAAAACAGGACTGTGATTCCCCCTCCCCACTTACCACCCTTACTTCTGCTTCTTTAATATCATTTCAGCACCGAAAGGTGTTAATTTGCTTCTTCTTTTGGAAATGTAGACTCTTCTTTCCTGTGAAGATTCTTGTGTGCCTTTAATTAGCAGGTTGCTTTTCCATCACAGCTGTACTTCGTCCAAGACATTGAGGGAAAGGGTACAATTTGTCAGTCTCATAGGAGCCACTCACTGACAGACGGCCTTCTTCCGACATTCCTTTAAAAAGGCTCTTTCACAGGAATTTGTCTGGGCAAATCTGTGTGTGTGCATGCACACGTGCTAATTGGAAGCTGGCCTTCCCATAAGAAGTTGTCAAGAATTGACTGACTTAGGCCTCCCCAACAGCACGGAGCCGAGTCCTCATCCCAATAAACCCCTTTTATTTAATTTACAATGAATTTCCCATCCAGCAAAGTCCCAGCCAACAATCTTTCAAAATAGTTCTCAATTACAGACCTTTATCAGGCTTGGAGAGTACCCAGGCCGATATCTTTCAGATGCCGCAATCTTGGCAAGCATGCCGGAATAAACTAATTGTCTCCTGCAAAGCCCCACTCCCCTTTCACTCCTCTTTTATTCTCTATGGGAGGGGCCATTCACTGTCCACCTGTGGCTTTACTCCCAAGTTGGCCCTTGTTCTTCAGCTGTTCCTTTCTCCTGGTAGCTCTACGCATGCGCACACTGGGAACAGGCTCCAGCTGTTCTTCTGCCTCACTGATGTCCAACTCCGAAGGCAGCTGATAACTGTCAGATGGCCCTGGCCCCATGTCTGCCTCCAATGCAGAGCACTCGTCAGAGCCTTCCCCAGACTCCAGGATTGGCCCATATTCCTCCCCAACCTCCTCACTGTCCGAATCTGCTGCCAGCTCCTCTGGCCGCTGTCGGGACACAACACTAGCCTACAATATGGGCAAAGCTCCTTTTATGCAGCAGTCACATTTCCAAATTGGAGCATGTGCTTTGCAGAAGAAAAGTCCCTGCAACCTTTAGATGGAAAAGATGAGAAGGCCATCCAAAAGCTTAGAGAGCTGTTGGCAATCAGCAGTGTGCCTGTGAGAAGACCTGTAAACATATGTAAAGGGCATTGGTGATGGAAAGGTTTCAAAATAATTAGAAACTAGTGATGCTTAGGAAGGAGATACCTAATTGTTGATCCATCTAGTTTGATTGTCACTAAATACCTGAAGTTTCGGTGAAGGGATGTCTTTAAACCAGCCTTCTCTAACCTGCTGTTCTCTATGTTATTCCTCAAATCCTAGAATGTCCAACATTATCATCAGCTATGATCATATTGGCCAAGAATCCTGGGAGTTTTAGTTCTTACACATTTGGAGGACAGGAAGATGGTACTTGTTGTCAATGGCCTTCAGATTGGAACTTTCTCCCATATGAAGGTGCTGCCATCATCTTCTCTTTGCATTGCTTGTGCTCCACCATTATGCAATTGTTGCTTTTCTATAAAATTCCTTTACCTTGAATTAGGATCCATCTAGGTCAGTTCTGTCTGCTCTGACTTTGGCAACAGCTCTCCAAATCATCAAAAATATTCTTCTCACTCTTGTTACCTCACATGCCTTTTGGATCCCTATGTCTTACCTCCCCCTCACTTATGGTTTCACAGTGTCCTAGAGAATCAAATGTTGTAGCGTTAGCCAGTTGGTGGCATTTTAGAATTCAGACCTGTAATTTGGAATGGTTCCTTCTTTCCCCTGTTAACAAAAAAAAAAAGCAAATAAATAAATATCACAGAAAAGTAGGTATGTTTGGAAATAAAGTAATTTCAGAATATTTCTTTCTAACTCTTAAGTGATCCAGTTATTTTGAGATACTTCTTTTGAAACAGAAGGTAGCATGCATCCCTTGTCTTATCTATAGGTAGAAAAGGTAAAATGATATTTAGTCATGACTGACTCAAGGGGGGCATGGTGCACACCTCCGTTTCTTAGCCAAGGGAGCCAGCATTGTCCAAAGACCCTTCTGTAGTTATGTGACCAGCATGAGAATACACCGAGGCGCATGCAACACTGTTAAGTTCCCACCAAAGTAGTACCTATTTATGTACTTGCATTTGCATCCTTTCAAACTGCTAGGTTGGCAGGGGCTGGGGCAGGAACAAGAACACACCCCATCACATAATGGGGTTGGGTTTCCAACTGCCAACCTTCTGGCGACAAGCTCAGCACCTTAACCACTAGACCACCTAGAAGCATAACAAAAGTCCTTCTCAATCAGACTCCAGGGTCTATGCTGAGCTTGGAGAAGCAGCACCCAGCCAATGGCACTGGGAAGAAGATTTCATAGCTCTGTTGAAATAATTGTTCTGGATCTCCATTGCTTCTGCTGTTTCGAACATTTTCATAAGCCCCACCATTCTGTTAAAGCTTTTTTTCTCTTGAATTCAGTTTCACAGTCAGGGCTAAGGATCTGTAACTGGCTGAGACAGACAAAAGTTTAAAACTGTATTTTGCAGAAATACGTTACTGAATGACTGCAGGAACAGGTTACCTGCCAGTTATGCAACTTGTCCTAAATCTCTTTGACAATTTTCTTCTAGGAAAGCTATGGTAAGATATATTTATATTAATAAATAATTTTAAAAATCAAGGTACAGTACCACCCTGTTATATTGATTATTGCATTTGGGTTGCAAAATATATACGTTTCTTCATTGCCGGTCAGATAAAATTTTACTTTGTTTCCCCTATTCTCCTTTTAAAATGCCAGCTTAAAGAATGATCACCCTGTTAATTGTGGAGAATTTGATGGCCTAGTAGAACTTGCAACCATTTGTGCCCTTTGCAATGATTCCTCGCTGGATTATAATGAGGTAATATTTTTTGTTATTAGTATTAGCAATAGCAATCTTATATAGACTTTACAGCACTCTCTGAGTGGTTTACAATGCCAGCACAGTGTCCCCAACAATCTGTGTCCTTATTTTACCCACCTTGGAAGGATGGAAGGCTGAGTCAACCTTCAGTCCATCAGGATTAACTCCAGATAGTGGGCTGAGTTATCCTGCAATGCATTCTAACCACTGCGCCACCAGTGCTCATATATTATATATCAAATCAGGAAGAAAGTCATACAGTAGCTCAGCCTACAGTTCCTAGAAGAGCGTTCTCCAGTTTGAACTGCGAAGTCTGCCTGGAGCTGAAGGGAATTGTGATTCAGATTGAAGAATGCTTCACTTTTAAAACAATTTTGTCATTTTTTTTGATGTGCAAAAATGACTATGTTATAAGTATCAATCTTAATTTTCAGTGAAAAAATAGCGTGCAAAAAAGTATATCCTACTTGAATAATTTTCTTGAAGTTTAAAAATAGAAAGATAAAAGTCCTACAAATTAAGATAAAAGAAAAAGTGCAAAAAAGAAAAAAAGGGGGGGAAGGGAAAAAAAATAGGTAAAAGGAAAAAAGAAATATATCCTGTTGTATTGTAAAACCTTTTAATTTGAAAAGTTAATTTAAAGTTTAAAGTTTGTTTAATTTAAAACCTTTTGTTTTAAAAAGGTCTTTTTAAAAGAATTTTGCAGTGAAGATTACAATCTCTTTCAATGCAAGTTTTAGAACTAGGATGGGGCATTTCTTTACTGTTCCAAACCAGGGATGTCAAACTCATGGCCTGCAGGCTGGATGTGTCACGTGCTGGCCACGCATACCCCGGTTTAGCGAAGAGAAAAAGGTCACGATACGTCACGTGATGATGTGACACCGCGAGTTTGATACCCCTGCTTAAAGGAAGCCCTCATATATTCCATAAAATTTACAGCACTCCTGTGGAAATAAGTCACAAGTTAGTGAGGTTGATTGGTTTCCCCTTGATTTCCAGGGAAACAATTCAAATGTTTTGGTTTCGGAAAAATATCTGACAGTATTAGTAGAGTAATGAGCACAATATCCAAAGCCTTTTGCTAGTGGTCACTCCAGTGTAAGGGCCCAAGGCAAAGACAAGGGGGAAGCAGAGAACGAAAGCAGCATCTCTCCATCCCGACACAAGCTCCGCCCCTTTTGTGTAGGCTTTATGACATGCACAAAAAGGGGGTTGCTTATGGTGCAAGACTGTTGGATGAAAGCTTTTGATCCTACTCGGGCCTTTGAGTTCCAGTTGTTTGTCCTTGGCCAGCAGAATAAAGGGGAAAAAGAATATGCATCCCTTACTACAGGTAGTCCTCGACTTACAACAGCTCATTTAGCGACTCTACAAAGTTACAACGGCACTGAACGAAGTGACTTATGACCGTTTTTCACACTTACAACCATTGCAGCATACCCATGGTCACGTGGTCAAAATTCAGAGGCTTGGCAACTGATTCATACTTATGACGGTTGCAGAGTCTCGGGCCCCCTTTGCAAACTTCTGATAAGCAAAGTCAATGGGGAAGCCAGATTCGCTTAACAACTGTGGTACTAACTTAACAACTGTGGTGATTCATTTAACAGTGGTGACAAGAAAGGTCGTAAAATGGGACAAAATGCACTTAAGAAATGTTTCACTCAGCTACAGGAATGTTGGGCTCAATTGTGGTCATAAGTTGAGGACTACCTGTACTGTTTTTGTATCTGGTCCTGGGTAGAGCGGATATGTAGACTCACAAGAGATGATTTCTAGGAATGAAATTGATTTTGGGAGGAAAATAAAAGACTTGTTTATACTGATTAGAGATTGTTGTTTTTTTCTGCCTACATGTTAAGCAGACATAATTGGACTCTGTATTTTACTGTTTTCGGCTTTTAACATGAGATTTGAACATCCTTCCTCACCAAACTAGCATAATTGTTTCTAACAAATTAGACTGCAGTGCCTACCACTGTGGGAGAAGTATTTTGGCTGTGTCTTAACTGCACCTTCCTTTTCTGTTTCTAGTCCAAGAAAGTTTATGAAAAAGTGGGCGAAGCAACAGAAACAGCCTTGATCTGCCTTGTAGAGAAGATGAATGTTTTCAATACAGACACCAGCAGTTTTTCCAAAGTAGAAAGAGCCAGTGCCTGCAATACAGTGAGTAAAGGGTTAATTTCTCCAGGGTAGAAACAGAAGAAATTTTAGCACAGCATTTGCAATCTTTAAATGGGGACTTGCAGGCCATGTTTAACTGTGGTTTGCCCCCAAAAAGCCTCTTCCTAGCTGTTGGGTATATTGATACACCAACTAGGTTTGGGTGAATAAATATATAAACCTAGGTTTAAGTGTTTGTAGCTTTAAGCACAAAAACTGCAATGTAATGTGATAATTAAGGGTGGGGTTGCAAGCAGCAGTAATAAGGCAGTGAGAGACGTAACACTTCCTGGTTACTGCTCCCTGGTGTTACTGGTTGCTGGTTTCTGGTTCCTGGTCTCTACTGGTCTCTCTGCTATCTGCTGCCTGCTGTTTTACTCTTGTATGAGACGTTTGCTTGTTGGCTACTGTGCAAGATACCTTTTTCTACTGAACAAAAGGACTGTTTACTTGGTGAGCTGTGCATACTCAGCGTTGTCTTGAAGAGAAAGGTATCGGAAGGAGAAGATTTACAAGCAGATAAAGACATTGTATTTACTGTTAATGGACTAGGTAACTGGATGGATATACTGGATAATGACATATGGACTGAATGACACTTCTTAATCTCTGTGTGAATTAAATAACTATTTAAAACTACAAACAGTGTTTTTGTCTCCAGTGTGTGTATACTCTTGGGCCCAGCCTCCCTCTCATTTGGCTGCCTGGCTTGACTGCTGCTGTGCACTCTGCTTGGGGGTTTGTCCCCAAACACTAACACTAGCCATAAACCATTGCTGCAGTAATTTCTGCAGGGGAGAAATAAGACAATTCCAGAGCACTAAGGCATTGCCAGTCGCTGTGTTAATTGTTGGAAGCTGCCTTGAGGATTTGCATAATGGAAAAGCTGGACATAAATCCAATAACTCCACAAATATCTAAATATTAAATTTGGTGATTTCTTGACATTCATTGGTGACCCATTTGTGTAGTTATGCATACAGTAGCCTTGTAAATATATCCAGAATTGTTTTTAACTTGCAAATTCTTTATTGTCTGTTAAATAATAAACAGATAGACCTCTGCTGGGTGCAAAATATTTCCAGGCTATGTAACCAAATCTCTATTTCAATGCCATAATACTTTGGCCTGGCAAGAAAGGTCTGGAGTTGGAATTGGCAACTAATGAACCATGGAGGCATTCCAGAACCAGCCACTAAACTTTGACGACAAAGTACCTTCAGATCATGGTATTTTCATGAAATAAAAAGCAGAAGAGAGGGGTATTAAATTTTTAAAAGGCTTAATGTAGCTTTTTTCAACAACCACAAAAAAATTGCACACTCAAAAGGAACAGACAAATGCAACATTGTTTTTGGCAACAACCAGCATTTTCTGTAAGATATCCTTTCGCCCAGACAGAGAAAACAAAGTGGCCCTTTCATTTATTTTTCCTTCTGATCTTTTAGGGCTGAGAACAAATATAATACTTGGAAAAGAACATGCATGGCTTAGGCAATATATTTTGCATTCCAGGCCAGTGGTGGAATTCAAATTTTTTTTTTACTACCGGTTCTGTGGGTGTGGCTTGGTGGGCATGGCTCAGAGGTGTGATTCAACCGGTGTAACAATCGGTTTGGTGAGCACGCGCTTTGTGTGCACGCACAGAGGATTTGCTACTGACCTTCTCCTGCAATCCTGCAGTCTCCCAGTGTGTTAAATAGTTGATGAGTGGCATTCCGCTGTGCCGTGCAAAGCAGCTGAGCTTGAAAACCAGGAAGGTCAGAATAGAGCCGGGGCCAGTGGGAGGGCCCAGCAGCTGATCGTCAGAACAAACTGGTTCGTCACAGATGATCCTCGGAGCTACCATTTCGGGCTGATTCGGGCCGAACCAGTAGAATACCACCACTGTTCCAGGCGCTACTCTGCATTTGTAATTTATGTATCTAGAATGTTTTTTTAAAAATTTTTTATTTTAACAACAAAACAACATAGACATACCACATAAAACATAAAAATATCATCCTTCTTCATAAATTTACAAACAGTGCATCGGTTGGTTTACCACTTTTTTTGTGTGCATCCATTTCCTAGTCACTAATATAATTATATTACATAATAGCTCATATTATCAGTCAATAATTGTATAACCTAATATCATCACTAAAAAAATCATTTATAATTTTGTTAATTCATATTTTAACAAGATAACTATAGTTTACTTAGTTTATTTTGCAATAAATCATAAGATCCTTGTAAAGATCCTGAGTCATTCAAATGAGTAAGAAAACTTTACCTTCTGGCAGTTCAACTTCTGCTCCTGCTTCTCCATCAACTGGAGGACGACTATCAATAATGGCGAAGCAAGATAAAGTACAAGTGGACCTAGCAATGATTATACAAGGAATATAAGAACTCAAAACGAGTATTGACCAAAGAACAGAGAGTATTGAACAAAGAATTGCAAAGACTGATGAAAAAATTGAAAATTTTCAACAAATGATGGCGAAACATGAGGAGAGACTCCAAAAAATTGAGGAGAAACACAAACAAAGAGATGAGACAATTGGAAATATTGTTAGCAAATTAACAACGGTGCAACAAGATATAACTGGGATGTTGAAGTGGGAGATGAATAGGTCAGAATTTTATCTCAGATTTCAAAATATAGAGGAAGAAAAAGGACAAGATTTGGCGGCTGTAATGATAGAAATTCTGGCTGGAGCTTTGGAGATAACAAGATATGCGATGAGGAATAAGCTACCAAGGGAGATTCATGTCAGATTTACTAAAAAGACTATTAAAACACGAATATTACAAGTCGCAAGAGATAAGGTGTTGAAATACAAAGGTAAAGAGATTGTGGTTTTAAAACAAGTGCCCAGAAGAGTGAGAGAGATGAGAAGAGAATATCGATTTTTGACCAAAAAGTTATTGGAAAAAGAGGTGAATTATAGATGGTTGATCCCAGAAGGATTAATGTTTATATGGCAAGAACAGAGACATAGAATTGACTCAATTGAGAAAGCAGAAACATTCTACAATGAATTTTTTGGAAGAAGAGAAATAGAAAAAGAGACCATCTCAACTGAACCTCAAGAAGACCAGATGGGAACGGGGAAAGAAGAAGGTGCGGTAGGTGGACAAATGGAGACCAAAGAACAACGTGAAGTAAGATCTACAAGAACTGTTAGACCTAAATACAAAACATAACCATGGAGGAAAAAAAATTGATTTCTATGAATATAAATGGATTGAACTCAGCTATTAAAAGAAGAAAAATCTTTCATAAATTAGAGAAGTTAAAATTTGATATAATTTGCCTACAAGAAGTACATATTAAAAAACAACATCAATGATTATTGGCACGACCAAAATTGGGGAAAATTTTTACTTCCTTGACTAACTGTAGGAAAAGAGGAGTGGTCCTGTACATTAAAGAAACTATTGTAGCAAAATTGATTTATACTGATGAAGATGGAAGAGTATTAATGGTTGAAATAGTGGATAACAATATAAAAACACTGCTTGTTGCAATTTATGCTCCGAACGATATCTAGAATGTTTTATTTGTATCCGTACACTTAAAAATTGCTTAAGAAAAATATTACTTGATATTCAAGGACAATTCCTATGGCAGAGACTCTGATGGCTTCCTACAGTCATTTCCCTTTCCCTCCTTACAGGTAATCAAAAAGCTGATGAAGAAGGAATGCACCCTTGAATTTTCCCGCGACCGCAAGTCCATGTCTGTGTATTGCACACCTGTGGCCTCCAGTCACAATTCCTCGAGCGCCAAGCTCTTTGTCAAGGTAACAGCTGGCACCAGGTCCTGCTGTGGTGAAGGCCCAGTTAGAGGTGCCACTGCCATGGCTTTCTCTATGCATTGGACTTGACAAGTCAAATGGCAGTGTGGTTATGGGGGTGCTTCACTTTTCAATGGGAGACACATTGGCTTGTCAAGGATTGCTGCTGCTATGGACTTTTTGATGGCATGGATCTTAGCAAAACATTACAGGGCATTATCCCTGTCCAGGATTTCAGCCCAAAGGCCATACTTCTTTTCTCCAGGATGCTCCATTCCATCTCTGTGTTTTCCATTT